TGCTAGTTCGTATCCAATTGTAGAAGTCTTCACATGTGAATTTATCATGCGTAACACATCATTGATGTTTCGTGATTTGGTTAATTTAGGAAGAAACAGTTCATTTATGAGACCATAAGAAAAGAAATATTTTTTGATAATGGAAAGGTTGTTATTTGCATTTGTAAAACATTTCTAGCCTCGCTACATGGCTATTCTTTAAATTCCTTGAATGCTTATGTTGGGTTTATTCTGACTTTCCATGAATTCTCATCTAAGGGTACCATTATTTATCCTCCAGGCCTCATTCACTCGTGCAAAGAAATGGGTTCAAGAACTACAAGCCCAAGGTAGGACCTAGAAGTCCTGGTTGAGATATATTTTTTTTAAGTTTCTCATTCAATATCGTCCATGTTCTCAGGTCTGATTTTCTTTTTCTTAGCATCTTACCCTAAAGGTGTTGAACTTATTTATTCTCAGTGCTATCTTCCCTTTTTTATGATAAATATCATACTTGTATTCCAAAAATCATCTGCTTCAGAATATGAATAAGCCTGCATATGTGCATTATCTTGCACATTTATTTGTATGACCATGTGAATAGGTGGGTATCCAGCTTAGTGGCTATCAACTTAATCTCCCATTAAAAAATTTAGCTTTCTTGCAAGTTCTCTCATTCACTTTGAGGACTTAGATTCTGGATATTTGACCTCCCTGAAATATAAGGCATCTCATGACTAGTTGCTGGAACTTTCATAGTTTACAGGCCCTATACTTGTGATCTTTCTTAGTGCAGTAAATGTGAAATACAAAGGGTCCAGTTATTTGTTACTTTCATCTATAGTTGTTAATTTATGCTGTTTTTCTGGAATGCTCAGGTAGTCCAAACACTATAATGGCTCTTGCTGGGAACAAAGCTGACCTGGTAGAGGCTCGACAGGTTTCTGTTGAGGCAAGTATACTCATATCATGTTTTCTGATTTTTATCATTATCGGATTTATCACATCCACTACTACTTCTTTATCTCAACTCTAAAGTGGACCTTGTGGCACTTAAGGAAATATGCTAATTTTTAGAATGAAATGATGTAGTTAGATGAGCTAATCTGACAGGTTTCATGTTAACACCTAGTTTACTAGTTTTTTTTCTCACATCTGATGGATAGTTTCAGTGGATTCACAAGCTCTCATTTTGGAATATTAGGGTTGGCCAAGGTGCAGTAAAACTGGACTTATTATATTTCCATGCTCAGCTTTGTCGTCTCTGGATGTTTTTGGTACTTGCTCTCGTCTTCACTGGAATTGTAATTTGGATTTTCTTGGATCACTTAAATATATTAATTGCTTAAACACATGCAAAACTTGGCTCCAATACTATGAAGTTAAAAATTTTCCAATTGCTAATCGAAAATGTCATGCTAATTAATACTTGCACAGAATGTTCGAGCTAATCTGTAAGCCAAACCTCTTTTCTTAAGCTCAAATGATGATGATTGTTGTGCACTCAACTCTTGATGCATATTAATTTTTTGACCTTCTCTTTGTATGATGTACGAAGGCAAAATACGGCAGCTTGAACAAACGATGTTTCTTTACCAGGCTTGAGTAGGTTATCAGATCTGACTGTAATAATTAATATTCAATTAAAATTTTGGTTATATCCATGGAGGAAAATTTTCCTTGTATATGTATGGCAAAGAGGGCTTCATGTTGCCTTAGATAAAACATGAAAGGAGAAAAAGATGTCACAAACAGAAGGATGGGATATTAGGCACCAAGTATTTCCTTAAATGTATATATGCACTTATAGATTTTCTTTCCTAAACCTCATTCTGTGAAGTGGTCAATTAGCTGTTCTCATGGTTTACATGTCAATATTTAGCTGAATAAACCATTTATATATGTTTCTGCCATTTCATTCCTCTTTAGTTGAATTGTCCATTAATATCCATTTGACTGAATATTTTAGCAGTTCCACATGTAATTTGAGCATAAAAATTATGATCTGTTCATCAAGCCCGACTATAAAGATCCTTTGCCTCTTAGAGCTCAATTTGTTGTTTTCATATTTGAAGAAAGATCATTTGGATGTGGGACTTCATGTCACCATAGGCAGTACATGTTTCTTATCACCTGTTAAATACCATTTTCACGAATGTACACTCGGTTTTGTTAAGTAGACAGACTAGTCTGACTACTTTGAATTAAAATTGCACTTCTACCCCATGTATTTACCTTGCAATTCTGCTTTAAGAGTACATTTTTTATGATGCAGGAAGCCCAAACCTACGCTCAGGAGAATGGTCTTTTCTTCATGGAAACTTCTGCTAAAACTGCAATTAATGTTAATGACATCTTCTATGAAATTGGTAAATCACTTTCAAACTTGGATAATTTATTGAAACAGCATAATGATCTCTAAAATATTTACAATATTACTTTATTGACATTGGTTTCTTGTTATTGTACCTATCTTTTGTGATTTACTGCACTTGGATTTAGTGTTTTACCGAATGCATTTTTTGGCTTGTGAAGTCGATGTTTTCATCTAAATTCTCTTATTTTCTCAAAAGCACATGACTGGACTGCTGGAAGATGATCTAATTATGCTTTGCTGTCACGTTCGAACTCCGTTTTCTTTAGAGTAATGTGCTTAATAATGAACAGTTTCTAGAAATATTTTGTGGATGGTTGGATGTTACATCACCAGGAATTATCCTTTACCTTTTGATGACTTTGATTACATTATTGACAAGTCTTCTATCTGCTGTAAGGGTTTAAAAACATTAACTAATGCATGTATGGTTTTTGTTTCAGCCAAAAGACTAACCAGAGTGCAGCCAGTACAGAACCCTCAAGGAATGGCTTTGGCTGATAAACCAGACCAGAGAATAGTGAATACTTCTTCTTGCTGCTCTTAGTTAAAGACATTGCTGCCATATAACAGCCAACCGGTGCTCATCTATCTGATTAATAGAAAACGAATTGGCAACTTGTGTTCTGCAAATCCTGTTCTTACTGTAAATGTGTAGGTTGGAAATCTGCAATTAAGAGATCAGCCACGTTTTGCATGAATGCTCTTGTTTGAACTCACAGTGTGGCTTTATTGTGGGACAACTGCTGTGTTCTATATAGCTTCATGTTTTATGAGATTCTGCATTAATCCATCGAAAGATTCAGGTTAACCACATGAAGAAAAACCTTGTATGTTTTAATTATCATGTATCATCTCCCATATAAGATGGTAGATGAAAAAAGCGGATAATTCATGAAATATGGCACGTACGTATTCTTAATGTTTCATAATCTAGAATTCTATTCCATGAAATCCTTCGACGACCAAAACAGTTGAAATCTAATTTGAGGTAGACCTCATTTATCCTCTTAGCATCACAACCAAGAAGGCCAACAAACACGCTCTTATCATAGTGTTGTCACACCACAAACGTTTTTTACAAGCTTTTAGACGTTGCACAACCACATGTATTCATTTTAACTTTGGGCAATATCAGTACAAGCACATAGCTACGTGTCACTCAGTTCATGTTATGCGTTAGATATGAATAGGTCCTCATGAGGCTTCAACCTGTCAATAATCTTGCTGTAATTAGTATGAAACAACGATTGCACATATCATAACAGTACTAATTTTCATAGCACTATGATGGTGTCTAAAATCATATCAAGTGAAGCGAAAACAAATTGTAAATGCAAACATCTTCCTTGACTCGAGTAATTACATGAGAAAATTCAAGTGTTAACGATTACAAATTACTTTCCTATTCATAAGAATGTTGTGCAAACACAACTCTGTAAAACATTTGTGTTAGGTGACTAGATCGGTTGCAAACTGGCAGATACAAGATTAGACAGACATCTAAAACATTTTATTATAGAGCCCTTACATAGTCTTATTATTTGTTACATTACCTCATAATTCCAGATTTAGCAAGTGTTAATGTGAAACACACATCAATCAGAATAAGAGCACATGCAGATTCTCAGTCATGACGTAAACGCTCAACATTATATGATCACTTAAATGAGTTTGGTCGGACATAACCTTATCATAGGCTATCATTTACACGTAAGCACCGAAAATAAGTGAATAGGTACCATGATAATGATATAGTCTCACTCCTATCTCAAATCCATTATAATTGTTCTTGCAACATCAATGATATAATAGCACAACCAGAAAACCATCACAAATATATACACAATTGGTTTAAACAACAAACAATGAGTTGTAGTACACATATAATGGAATTTATCAGCTAAGAAGCCTCACCTGAATCCCATCAACAATTGGATCACATATCAAACATATTTATAGAATACGAATAGAATAACTTACTTTATGAATTTTGTGAGGAATCTATCTATAGTTTTACTTTCAGTAGAAGTTCCTATGTGTAAATTGATTGATTTATATCATTGGAATTTGTCTCAAAATTTTGTTGGTTAATGGTTTTGCCCCCCCTGATATTACTAAGTCTCTAGATCTCCCTCCATAGATTCCCATAAATCCTAGAAGTCTTTAAGGATGTCTTATCATCCACAGGCTAAAAAGATAACTGATGGTAGTAATCCAAATCCTCAAGAATAATTTTCCAAACTAGCTGAAGATGAACTACGACAATGACCATTTTTTTTCACAAGCTGAGTTTGTTTTGAACTGTCTCTGAATTATTTTACAAGTAGAGGCTAGTTAGCATCAAGTAGCAATGTTAACATGGCCAAGTCCACAAGCCAGAAGAAAAGGAAGATAAGCTTGGGCATCTAAAGTCCACTCAGAAAACAAAAAAGAAAAAAAAGGCAAAATGGATCAGTGGTTGCATATATAACACAATTTGCAATCCGGTTCATGCATAATCAATTTTCTTTACCATTAGAAGAATGGATTTGGTTTCTTTACCGAAACTAAACGCACTCTACTTTCTGAGTAAATTCACCCTTGTTATGACCAAATTGAAACTACTAGCCCAATAACTTGCATGGCATCGCACATAACAACATTGCTAAAAGTTTCACAACACAATATTATACTCCTACTTGCAGAGTACAGCATACAAAATGTTCTCCGATGCACTCTTGGTTTAAGCACAAATCAACAGCATCAATCCACTTTAGACAATGTACCTAATCTGATGGGGTGCAGTGCCGAGATAACTTGGAGTCCCGAATAATTCACCAAAAGTTGAATTGCATGAAAAACTTCAATCGAAATCTGGATACAACAACCATATTCCAGTCTGGTGAAGAGGCAATCTGAACAGAAAATGAAGAGGGAGCTTCATAAATTTCAAGAACAAGAAAAAAATCATCCAGTGTTGTAAAACAAGAAAGAGCAACTGAATAATACTCTTTCAAGCATGGATAACACTAGGCAAAAGTACAACATTTTCAGAGTGTTTTCACAAGCATTACCATAAATTTCAATCACACATCATGAAGACAACCAATGGAATATTGGTATAGATTCTTTTCTACGATATGCTATCATTTTGCTATCAATCTTAACTGTAGACCACAAGTAAAGGGAATAACAGTACCTCAAAAGCCAAATGATGCTCAGAGCCTCTGCAAGCCAACACCAGCAGATCCTCCACCATCTTCAAAGTAGAGGAATCTTCTAACATCTGCCACCAACTCCTCTTCCTTGCTGGCATCAAACATCTCCATCCCGTGAAGCCCTTCCGACTCCATCCTCGCCACCACACTCACCCCTCTCCTCTCCAACATCCCCGCGAATTCCCTCTGTCTATCATACAGCGGATCTCCAATGTGGCCCCTCACCAGGCACCGCGGCAAGTTCCCGACCGCCGCCAGCAGCTTCGCCTCGTTCGCCATCGGGTTGCAGTACTCGTGGTCCCTGTTCGCGCCCTCCGGCAGTGCCAGCTCCCACATCAGGTCGTTCGCCACCAAAGGTATGATCTTGTCCTCCTTCGCCCTCTCCTCCGACTCCGTCCGCTCCACTCCCCCGAAGTAGGGCTGGTCCAACACCAACCCCGCTATCTTTACCGGATGCAAGCTGTCCGTCAATGCCGCCGCACGGACGGCGGCGTAGAAGGCGATGTTGCCGCCGGCGCTGGTGCCCATGAGGAAGCAACGGGAGAAGTCAGCGCAATAGCGGAAGGGGAGGTCGCCCCGGCCATCCGCGGCTTGGGAGCGGAGCCAGAGGAAGGCGTCGAGGGCATCGTCGTAGGCGGCAGGGAGGCGGTGCTCGGGGGCCAAGCGGTAGTCGACGGAAAGTACAATGGCAGGGAGGGAGGCAGCCAGGCGAGCGCAGGCAGCGTGGATGGGTCCGGAGGCGGCACGGAAGAGGATGAATCCGCCGCCGTGGAAGTAAAGGATGAGGGGGAGCTTGGGAGCAGGAGGGGGTTGGCGGGGGAGGAAGAGGCGGAAGGTGGTGCCGCGGGCGGGATTGAGAGGGAGGTCCTGACAGAGGACTGCGGGATCGGAGGGGGGCAAGAGAGGGATGAGATCGGATCGAGTGAGGGAGCCGTCGGGATTGAGGGAGACCCTGAGCAGCTTGTAGGGATCCATGGTGCAGCGGCCGGAGCGTGGTTTGGATGCAATCCACCTCTTCTGGGTAGCCTGCGATGGCACGAGGCAAGTGATAAGATTTAAAGAAGCAGAAATAATTAGTCGTATTAAAGTAGATGTTATAAATCTGTATGTATTATATTATACTATATTATTATTCTTATTATTATTATTATATATATAGGTTCATAGCTTCATTTTGTAGCATAAGCATTTTAAGTAAGTTGATTTAAGATGGCAATCAAGGTGACCTACCACCAGACCCTACCATCACCTCCTCCTATCCACCCCCACGTTTATTTTTATTTCATTTACCACTTACCTCACTATCTATTTCGAGAGCATTCATATTTACATCGATCGATCATAATAGTCTATATATATATATATATATATATATATATATATAGAGAGAGAGAGAGAGAGAGTTTAATTGGAGAGAATATTTTCTTTATTATTTTCGGACATTGATATAGACATACGTGTTGAGCCTTTACTGATCCAAAATAATAATTAAATTGTTTGTCAACTAATCTAATTAATATCTTAAGATGTTTAAAGAACCCTGGGGAGGAGAATCTGACACCTACCTAATCCTAGATATGGAATCACAGGCGCTTGATTTCGCTTGTGAGTTTTCGTTCCTTTGATTCGTCATAGCTTTTTATGATATTTTGTAGAGAATTGGATGGTTCTGCGTCAGAAATAAGGGTTTGATTTAATCATTGATCATAATTAAATTTGTTTGAGATCTGCTCAACTTGATCGCATTAACCAGTTTATGAGCTGTATGTATTGTATCACTCGTCTGTGAGGAGCATAATAATTACGATCGTTCACTTTCTATAATTAGTATCTGACTGCAGAGAAGACTCATTGTCATGGGGGCATTTTGTCTAAAAACACGACAAGATGTTACTTTCTAATTAGCTTTTAAATGATGAATCATTGTCATCCGACTTTTGATCATCGATACATCATCATCATCCCCTCCATAACCTCTCACTCTCTCATGGCTTCCATCGTTGTTATCATCATTTCGATCTCCACGATCACCCCTAGCTCTATCGTCTTCGCTCTTTGCTCTCACCATAAGATCCTATCACGATTGACGTGTTGCCCTCCCAATATAACATTCATGGTTCTATATTAAATAGAATATTTTTCAATCATCAAATTTAAATTTCAAGATTCATAATATTGAAGACGCAAGAAATTCAAATTTAGTTCACATATTAGAAAACCTATGTAATTTATAAATATTTATCATAAATTTCAAGCCAACTCAATTAATTTTAACAATCACTTATAGCTGACAAGATCAATCATAAGTCAATCATTTACTAACATCTTTTAACTTTGATTTATTTTTTACATTTATAAAAATAAGAACCAATTTAGATTATGGACAACATTACAATTAAAATATTTTTTTTGACAAAAACATCTTGTAAAACCATGAAAAATATCATACTCTTCTAGCATTTTATTGTTCTAGCCCAAACCTAACATGAGTCTAAGTGATAAATTGATCTAAAAATTTTATATAGTAATAAAGCGATCTATAAAGCTCAACAAGCAACTATTATATCCATATTATAAGACTTAAAAGATGCAAAGCATAGATTCAATAATCATTTAGCATCTTATATGATTTATGCTTAACAAAATGCCAAATAGTAACATATAAGTAAATCAATATAAAAAAATATCAAGAGTTATATTTGTAATCCAATTCGATTTATTAATAATAAAAGATCATACGAGCAAATCAAAATTAAAATACAAGACATAAGCTCAAGTCATATTTTATATTTTATTCAATTTATTTATATTAAAAGAGCATAGAAACATATAAGTAAATCATGATCAAAATATGAGGCATGAGCTCAAAGCTGTGTTTGACATTTCATTCAAATTATTGATATCAACAAATAAGCAAGTCTAAGATCTCAAGAGCCATATTTGACATCCTAATTAATTCATCCCTATTAAGGGAGCATATAGTAATACATAGGCCTGTCTTTTGAAGAGAAATCAAAATATAATATTATCCATCTATTTCTAGATAAATATTAATATTAGTCTCTCGTATTTAGGAGCTTTATGCACCTGGATCTGATAAATTCATTGAGGTTAGCAAGATTATCTCTGTTAGAATTGTAAAGGCACTAAGAGGGAAGAGGGAGAGTGAATTAGTACTTTCAAAATAAAGTTTTGATTTGAAATTTTCTATTGATAAAACTTATATCAAAAATATGTTTAACTAAAAATACAAACTGATTTATAGTAAGGATAATAAGTAAGTAAATCAGTAAGTAATGACAAAGGAAAGCAAGAAAATGATACAAACTGATTTATAGTAGTTCGGTCGTCCCAACCTACATCAACTCTCGATTCCTCTTCCCTCGAGGTCATAGGTTTTTACTACTGATTTTTTTTTTTTCAATAGGCGAAGATCATGTTAGGACCCTTTTTCTAAGCTTTTGAATAATGTTTATTGAGTCTGTTTAGTCTAGTTGTTTATTGAGTCGGTTTAGTTCAGCTAGAATCGGATAGAGGTTTATTTAATATTTATTTATTATTAAGAGTCCAAGTCCAAGTGGACTCTAGGTGGAACTCTAAATAGTGATGTAACCCTTTTCTTTAAATTAATCAATCAATCAATGAAATGTTATTCTACTCTGTGGATAAACTCTAAGAGGTCGATCCCCTCGAAGTGATCAAGAAGGGCCGATCCCCTCGAAGTGATCATTATCATTCCCTTTTCTCCCCTTTCTTCCACGATAAGACCTTAGGGTCTTATCGTTTGGTATCAGAGCAGTGATCCTCGGCATTTCACTATTTTCACTGCAGTTATCATCATCTAAAAAAAAAAGAAAAAAAAGAAACGACAGAAAAAAAAAAGAAAAAAAAAAAGGAAAGAGATCATGTGAGAAAGGGTGAAGCTGAAGGAAACTAGAATGAACATATTTATAACTCATTTAATTATAACAAAAATGAGTGACTAAGAAATAAAAGAGTTTAAAGCAGTAATATGTGACTCATTTGAGAGAATATTTTAGCTAAAATCAAACTCTTAAGAGATAGAAGACAACATTGTGTAAGTTTGATACATGAGCTTACTTTTCGATAGAATAAGTTTTGTATAATTCAGAGTTTTGCATAAAAAGCAATAAATAATCTAATATATATAGTTCAGATCATCTTATCTCTATTTAGTAGAATTCAAGAAATTAATTGAAATAAATGTTGGATATATATATATATATATATATATATATATATATTAAATTATTCAAATAATGTATTAAAGAATAGATATAAGAGTCTAATTTAAAAAAAAATATTTTGTTCAAATCAGAGTTTTGTACATAATATTAAAGTTAAGATAAGATAAATAGTTTAGGATTCTCATAATTCTAAAATTATAAGTTGACAACTCAGTCAAGGTTGAAAATATTAAAAGGAGGCAAAGCTCTACTAATTACTTATAAATAAAAAACTATTAAAAAAATTAAAAATAAAACGTACTGTAGGATCAGATAGAATGCTTTCCTTAAGGCTAATTTATAAGATGTTGAATTAATTCAAATTCTTAAAAGCCAAAGCAAAAACACTTTTCTTCTTCAATTCTTTTCTTCTCTTACACTTCTTGTTCCATTTTTCTCTCCTCTAGTGTAAAGTGGATTGTGAGTAGGGATTAACCAATTATTTTTCTCTGATTACAAATGTTTAGATAAGCTTCGCAAGATAGCAAGTATGCATCAAAATTGTATTAGGTGTCATCATATAACAAGCATGAGATGCCAATCTCATTTATTTATTAGTGCCACATGTTTTTTTTTTTTCTCACTAATAAAACTTTCATAAATCACATCAAAATTTTAGGACTATTAATTAGATAGCTACACTAAATAAGCTGGTGGTCGATAGAGAGAAGAGGAGGAAGGAAAGAGACGACAAGGAAGGTCGAGTGGCAAGGAGATGCGGAAAAGAAGGGGAAAAGAGAAAAAAATAAAAAAGACAATTGGTGTCACCTCATGGTGAGGCGAACGTAATACCATATAACTTATGCGAGGGTGACTAATAGAGGAGTGATATACCCTAAATTAAAATCAATTAAGAGAGCATTATAAGATAAAAGTCCTTGGTAAAAAACTTTTTTATACTCATTGTTCTTTGTGTTTGGTGAGGCTTTATTAATTATACGTTTTGCATATTATTTTAATAATTATTCAATTATTCAATTGTTCAAGAAATATATATTTAAATATTTGAATAATTTATTTAACATAAAATGATCGATCAAACCAAGCCTATGTTTGACTCTTAAATTAGTCGAAAATAATGATGATATCAATATTTGATTATTTTTGAACTGGTAAACCACTTAAATGTCTTTGAATTGTTCAAGTTTAGTTTGACTCCTTACTAAATCTTGACGTTTAAACTAAAATATTTACCTTAAATATTAATATATTGATTTAATCCCACAAGCAACTTTACCGATAGCAACAACGAGATCCAAGATGTAGCGTACAAATTTGAGCCACCGTAGTTGAATGGGACCCACCGTGACTCATTTTGGTGAGATAATCGATCTATTAAGTTTAGATTCACGATTTAAAAATGTTTAAACTCAAATAATAGTGACAAATCTATCTCATGTTTATAAATTAATAACGATAATTAAAAGAGTAATTTTTTTTAGATTTTCTTTTAATTTTTCCTAGAGATTCCTTTTCCGTATTGTCCCAAGGCACCTCCAAAATAACTTTTGACAAGACAAACTATCATATAGATCGATTCTTAGGACGGATTGGTCTATTATTCTCTTCCACATAAGATTTATATTTATGATATTTTGAATAATCTTATAATATTTTTAGTAGCTCCACCAAAATACTATAATTAGACAAATAAACTTAAAATTAATAGATTCAAGCTCATCTAGGGTTTCAAATTGGTATCTTTACTGCCTTGGGAACAATAATAACCAAATAAATAAAGTTTAATATTAGGTGCAGTATTTTTTAATATGTTGTCTTACATTCACAAAAACTT